AAAAAAGAAACTTGAGAAAAAATATCTCTTTTTTTTTTTTTCAAAGAAATGTCATGTTTATGAGCGATATATCGGTTACATACAGTAGGAACTTACTTCTATTCATTGCTTAGATAACGAGCAAATAATTTCACCCGAAAAGAGAATGTAACCGACAGTCAACTGATGTTACAGACAGATATGGATAAGTAATTTTTTTAAAGAAGGATATCGAGAAGATGATGAAGAAAAAACCTAACCGAAGCAGAATATGATACTTACTGTGTGTTGAACGACGATAAACAACTGTTCTGAAACGGCATAAAATAAAATGCAAATTTTGTCTGCTTAATTTGTTCTTGATTCAGAACACTAAATCCCTATGTTCTTTTATTTGTTTAATGGCACTAAATTTTTTGATAAAACAGTAGGTGATTTCGAATAGGTTTACAGCTTAGGTTCTATAAGATGCCTTTCTTTCCTTTTTTTTATAAATAGTAAAATTATAAAGATAAGATGCCGGCAAAAAGAAAGTTGAGAACCGTTGTTGAAAAGTGAAGAAGAATTGAAGAAGACCAAGAGATGAAAGAACGATGTTAGTAATTGTGTGGAAAATCTGGAGGTGAATGGACAGTGGTAAAACAATAATGGAAGAAAAAACGCTAACTGAACTGCATAATAAGAAAGCTAACTAACTGTGTTCTAAAAGATTTCAGTTGCATAGACGACATCAGAATATAAGACAGAAATATGACTGAAAGAAATACGAACATGTCTGAACCATACATATAACATATATCCAGTCAGCCACAACAATATAAAGACAAATTATGATCGGCATAAATTTTTAAATTTTTCATTGTTTCAAGATTACAGAGCTAAAAAAATGCAAATTTTGCCACAAAAATTCCTAAAAGCAGAAATTTTTACTATGCCTCAAATATTAGTGCGAATTCATGACCTGTTATAAATACAGTAATCAGTAGTTTATGCGCAAACAGGATGGACTATGTCTAATAGTTTTGACGCTATTAATTAGAACCAATAATTTGAATTTTCTCTTGGCAATTACTTATGAGAACGTTTAAAAGTTTTCCAAAAGATTGTTTCAAAAATGATATAATTTGCCTTCAAAGAAACTGTTAAATCATCCTCTTTTTCATTAAAACTGTTCGTTTATTGACGGAGAAGCAGAAGAGATAGATTTGAAAGAAACGCTAGAATCGTTTAAGAAGAATGTTCACAGAAATCTGTTATTGTTTCTGTTGCAGTCACACAGATTTCTTAATCACACACTCGAAGGCGTTTAAGAACCGAAGACCTGAAAATGAAAATGACATATTTTCAATTTAAAAATTTCATAAATATTAGCAAAAAATAAAAACCGAATAATATTTTTAGAATTACGAAGAAAAACAGCTACCGGAAATATTCACCTTTTCAATCGTTTACATGAATTTGCAAATGGTGAGCTGCTAACACAACAGCAACAAACTTGTAGACATGGAGTCGGACATGGATTTTGACAATTTGAACCTAAAGAAAGATAATATTAGATAGCCAGTAAAAGAGTGTATATAGATTTAATTCATTATTTTTTTTACTCGTTCAATAGTATCACATACCGCAGCTCGGAAGCGATAATGCTGGCAGCTGTAATGGTGGAAGCGCCGGTAAAGGACAAGGGTTAAAGTTGATCGGCGAACAAAGACCACCAGTGTTGGATAACCAATGTCCGCCACAGCAACCAGGCTGTTGAGGGCTAAAAGAAGGTGCAGCTATCGGCTGAGATGGGATTACTTGCATATTGGTGCTTGCTAACTGTTCACCGCAGCAGGCAGCAGGAGCTGATGGTTGATATGCTGGTGCCTGGTAAGGCATTTGCGGCGCGGATACTGCAGTTTGTATTGCCGGTACCGGTTGTTGATTGGATTGTTGAAAAGCGGGATTTGGATTATACTTTTGTTTAACTATATATGTTGCTGTATCAACACTAGGTAAAAGTTCTTTATAAGTTCTTTGCAGCGTTATTTTTTGTGTCTCTGGCTCCAAAATTATCGGGGTTTCCGGCTCTGAACTGATACTTTCGTATGGTACCAAAACTTTTTTATCTCGATTCACTGAGATTTCAGGAACAGTTTGTTTTGGAACCTTAGTGACGGTTATTATATCCTTTTTGTCGGTATTTTCTGTAAAATCAACTATTATTTGGCGCATTACAGCCTTTTACTATGAATAGAAAAAAATAATAAAAATTCTAAATATGGGCTGTCTGAACCGATAGTTTTTTTTAACAAGACAAATAAAAAAGTGACTTTACCTTTTTAACCATAAATCATAAAACTTGGTGATTCTTTAATTTTATCAGTCCTTGTTTTATTAGAATTAATTTATTAAAATTTACAATTTTAATATAAGTTGAGTTTTTTGTAATCACAAAATTATTTACAACTACCATACCTGTTGGAAGAAGCGCTGGTGGAACCTCGTAAATGGCCTCTAAATTGCTTGAGGTTTGTTGCATTTCCGAACCAGTTGATAAACTGTTTTCAGTACTAGTGCGAATTGCTGCTGTAGCGGTGGTGGTGTGCATTTCATCCGTGTGCGAAGAATCC